TCCCCGCCCCTCCCCGCCCCTCTCCCCGCCCCTCCCGCCCCCCGCCCCCTCTTCACCCCTCCCCGCCCCCCCTCCCGCCCCTCCCTCCCCGCCCCCTCTTCACCCTCCCCCGCCCCCTCCCCGCCCCCTCCCTCCCCGCCCCCCTCTCCACCCCTCCCCGCCCCCCTGTCCTCCCCCCCCCCCGCCCCCTCCCCACCAATCCCAACCCCCTGTCCTCCCCCCTCCCCCCTCCCCCCCTCCCTCCCCACCCCTCCCGCCCTCGCCCTCTCCCCGCTCCTCCTCCCCCATCCCCCCCTCCGCCCCCTCCCCGCCCCCAGGGCCCAGCTTCCTCAGGTCGTGCAGCTCCCCTCCTGCTTTTCAGTGCCTGCCAGGCCTGCCCCCGCCTCTGACCCACCATCCCCTGACCCGCTGCCCCCTCATCCGCGGTCCCCTCACCCATTGCCCTCTGACCCGCAGTTCCCTGACCCAGTACCCTCTGACCTGCTGCCTTCTGACCCACTGTCCCCTGACCCGCTGCCCCCTGACCCGTTTTCCCCTGACCCGCTGCCCTCTGACCTGATGCCCCCTGACCCGCTGCCCTCTGACCGGCCGCCCCCTGACCCGCCGCCCCTGCCCTGTGCCCCAGGCCTGCAGGTGGTGCTCAAGTCCATCATGAAGGCCATGGTCCCGCTGCTGCAGATCGGGCTGCTGCTCTTCTTCGCCATCCTCATGTTCGCCATCATCGGCCTCGAGTTCTACATGGGCAAGTTCCACAAGGCCTGCTTCCCCAACGGCACCGGTGAGCGGGGACACGGAATCCGCGGGCGGGTTCGGGCCGGGGAGCAGGAGGCAGGCCTGACTGCCCGGCCCCGGAGGTCAGCTCGGGGTCCCAGTGTCTCCTCGGCCCACTGCGTGGTCCCGGGCTGCCAGCTGTCCGCTGGGCACAGGGCCTGGCGGGCACGGGGCTGCGGTGGCTCCCAGGGACGGGCAGGTGCGTGTCGGGAGAGCGTGTGGCAGTCCGGCCGGAGGGAGGGGAGTCAGGTCCTGGGCGGGCGAGGGGCGTGCTGCGTCTGGTTTGAGATGGATGAGTCCCGGGCGGGAGTGGGGTTCCAGCTGAGGGAGAGGGCAGGCCGGGCCTACGTGCTGCTGGGCTCAGGGTGTGCGCTCCCCCTTTCCCACGCAGAAGCCAAGCCCGTGGGCGACTTCCCCTGTGGCAAGGAGGCGCCCGCCCGGCTGTGCGAGGGCGACACCGAGTGCCGGGAGTACTGGCCGGGCCCCAACTTCGGCATCACCAACTTCGACAACATCCTGTTCGCCATCCTGACCGTGTTCCAGTGCATCACCATGGAGGGCTGGACCGACATCCTCTACAACGTGAGTGGCCTGAGCCCCGCCCCTCCTCCACCCGCCAGGGGCCCAGGAGCAGTCTCAGCTCAGACTCTTCTTTTAAAATAAATTTTTAAAAATACATTTTTATGGGTTTCAGAGAGGAAAGGAGAGGGAGAGAGATGGAAATGTCCGTGATGAGGGGTAACCATGGACCAGCTGCCTCCTGCATGCATCCTCCTGGGGATGGAGCCGCAGTCTGGGCCTGTGTCCTGATAGGGAATCACACCGTGACCTCCTGGCTCATAGGCGGGTGCTCACCACTGGGCCGTACCGGCCGGGCACAGCTTAGTCCCTCACCTGGGCCTGCAGCTCCTGCTGGGAAAGTGGGCTGAGGGAGGGGTGAGGTCAGGAAGGACGGGCCGCGCAGCCCCTGCCGTCCTGTTCGCAGTCACTTCTCCGCGTGGGCCGGGAGGAGTCTTGTCCCTGAGCCAGGAGTGTGTGAACCCCCTGCAGGAGGAGCGGGCAGAGCCACTAGGGGTCTCCCGCGGGGGAAGGCGGGGCTGCCTGAGGGGCGGGCACGCTGGGCTGAGCCGAGCCGGGGCCCAGGGAGGCGCCTGGGGGAGCCTGTGCCGTCCCTCTGCTTCCTCTCTGGTCCTCGGGCAGTGCCGGCGTGGTCGTGCCAGAAGCTGGCGTTGCCCTGGGGGAGCCTGGCGCCCTGTCGCTCCCCTTCCCGCCGGACACGCCTCCGGAGCAGACCTCCGTCTTCTTTAAGGGGCAGCCTCCCCTCCCGCCGCCTCCGCCCCTCCAGCTCGGGGTGCCAGCCGGGCAGGGGCGATGGAGGAGCGGCGTTGGGGGCGGGCAGGGAGGCGCCTGGGAGCCAGGAATCCGGCGGGAAGGGGCAGCGGGGTGGCTGGGCTTTGGTGGGTGGAAGGTGTGTTCTGCCCTGCAGCTGTGGGTGGGGTTCCGGTTGGGGGGTCCCTGGAACATGAGGTGCTTCCGTTTGAACTCTCGCTGGTGCGCCAGGATGTGGCGGGGCCGCGGCCCCTGGAGCCTGTGCCTGCCTCGGGGCTTGTGGGGACCCGGGTGAATCTTGGGGCTGGGCACCCAGCGGCCGGCAGGCAGAGGCCCAGGCCTGTGAACTAGATTCCCTCTGGAGCGGAAGCGCGTCTGTGACAGCTCTGTGAGCGCGGACAAAGGCAGGGATGGCGGGCTTGGCTGTCCTCTCCCTCAGCCCATCAAGGAACGCTCTGCACAAAAGGACCCTAAAAATAGCTCAGAGCGGCCCCACCTACCAGCCCCCCGCATGCACAGAGCCGCCCGCCCGCCTGCCCGCCGGGGCTCCCGGGCTGGCCAGTGGCCATGTGACTCCTCCTGATCTGCACCGGGGGCGGGCGGGAGGCCCCTCAGGAAGGGGCCCGGGGGCTCCATCGACACCCATGGGGCCCGGTGCTGGGCGCTCCCTGAGAAGCTGCAGGGGGTGGGGTGAGCAGGAGATGTCAGAAAGACGGCTCGGAGGACCAGCGCTCTGAAGAGACTCGGGAGGTCTGGAGCCAGCCCTGCGGTCGCTGCGGGACCTGACTTGGAGTTGTGGCCGGACCCGGACGCGGTGACGGTGACGCCGTGAGGCTAGGCCGAGCAGGTGGCCGCCGTGCACGCGGAGAGGGCTGGCAGGATGGGTGTGGAGGCCAGGCAGGCGGTGCGGGGAGCCTCCTCACCACCCAGGGAGGGCTCTCTGGCTCCCCCAGACGCGGCTCCTCCGCTGGAGGGCGCTCCGTGCCCGGCAGGGGCCTCTCGTGGGCCAGCTGAGGCTGGGGGATGGTGGGCAGCCAGGAGTCCCTTTAAATTCCGACCCAGGGTGATGGGGTCGCTTCAGAGAACATCGCTCAGCGTGGACCCTGGAAGCTGACGGAGGGGGCCCTGCTGGAGGAGGAGAGGAAGCGGAATCGCAGTCAGTTCCTGTGGCCGAGTTAGCTTCGGGGCGAAGGAGGGGCCTGCCTGTCCCCCCTCCTCCCGCGCCTGTGGTGGCTGCCAGCCAGCCCTGCGGCTGTGGGAGGAAGGGTGCCGCCTGGGGCACCGGGCCTCGTGTCCCCGCACATCCCTCCGCACGTCCCTCCCGCCGACGGGGGCCAGCTGGGCCGCAGGCTCCGTGTGGAGCATGTTGACCAGTTTGCCAGCAGCCGGGACTGACACTCTGAACCCAGACTGCTTCCTACTGGGCGTGACTGTGGACTTCCTGTCACTCAGGACGGCTCCACACTCTCCTCCAGGGCCAGTCGGTTACACACACGTGGCTCTGACACGTTCATGGTACTCGGAAGGCGTGTGCGTGCACCCACAGGCTGGAGAGGAAGGATCACAGGTGTGAGCTGAGCCATGGGGGCGGGCGGGGCGGGGGGCGCGTGGGGAACGGGGTGTCTGCTCAGTTCCCCCCCCCCGGGAGTAGGGGTGGAGCCTGCATTCTGCTCTGACCCTTGACCTTCTCGACCGTTCTGTCGCAGTGGGGTGCTGCGTGTGCAGTGGGCACACGGGTGCAGGGCTGCCCGATGCACATGTGAAGTCACGGGTGGTGGTTAAAATCACGTGGGGGTGAGACCGCCTGGGTAATGAGGGCTGGTGGAGAAGGATCGCCCGGCGCTGAGCCGGCTCCCCGCCTGGCCTGCGGCTCCAGCAGCAGCAGAGCCGGCTCCGGGCTGGGCCTGGCTGGGGCCGGAGGAACGCGGGAGCCGGCAGAGCAGAGCGTGCCCGGGCGGGCGTCAGGAGCCGGTCAGGTGGCGCGAGGGCTCCAGGAAGGAGCAGGTGAATGTGACCGGAGCAGGACGTCCTGGACCCTGGAAGCCAGGTGAAAGGTGAAAGTTAGAGGCGGAAGGCAGTGCTAGGTGAGGGCAGCATATGAAGTCGCTCGGAAGGGCTTCCTCTGGGACCCAGAGCGGCGCTGGGAGGTGAGGAGGGAGACCCGGGCCCGGCTCTGAATGGAAGGCTGTCTCAGGACGCGGCCAGAAACTGCTGGGACCCGTGGTCCTGGCCCTGTTCCTGCCGGGGTCCCAGCCTGTGGAACCCGCTGTGTCACCGGCTGTGGGAGGCTGTCCCAGGCCTGGCAGCCACTGCCCGGGGAGCCCTTTGGCATTTCAAGAGCATCACGTCTGTGGCTGGGTCCGGGCCGGTTCCCTGCACGTTGCTCTCTGGGGGTCCCCGGTGTGCTGGCTGCTGGTCTCCGCGGAGCGTGTGCCTCGTCGGCGCTCACCGTGGCTGGGAGTGACGTGGCCCCGCAGGCCGGAGCACAGCTGTGCAGCGGAGCCCTCGCTCCTCGGGCAGTGCCCGCGTGCCGTCGGCTCCGTGGCTCCCGGCGGTGTCTCGGGAGTGGGCTCCGTAGCCAGGGCCTCGGGAGGAAAGCTCTCCAGGAGGCCGTGCTCCTGCACCTCCTCCGGTGGCCGGGACGACCTCCTGGTGCCGTCGCTGTGTCGACTGAGCCCGTCAGAGACGCACGTGGCGGGACGCTCTTCTCGTGCGTATTTGCCGTGACACGGGGTCTCCTGCCCGCAGTCTGTCGGTCGTTCTTTTCCCGGGCGTTTTTCCCACTGGAGACGTCTTCGAGGCTGGAGTGGTGCTTCACGTTGGGTTGGAGGTCTGCAGTGCTCGTGGCGTGTGCGGCGAGCGCCTGTGTGTCGCCATGGCACCGTGTACGTGCTCTTTGGGGAAGTGTGTACTTGGCTCCTGTGCCCATTTACAAGTTGGGTTGTCGCCCAGCCGGCCTGGCTGTGGGTGAGTGTCGGCCTAGGAACCAGGAGGTCACGGTTTGATTCCTGTTCAGGGCACAGGCCTGGGGTGTGGGCTCAATCCCCAGTGTGGGGCGTGCAGGAGGCAGCTGATCCATGATTCTCTCTCATCACTGATGTTTCTACCTCTCCTTCTTTCCCCTCTGAAATCAATAAAAAATATGTTTTAAAAAGTTGTGTTATTTGTGATTTTACTTATTTTGAAAAATGTTTTGGTCAGTCCTCGCTGGAGGATCTTTCCCACTGATCTTTAGAGAGCCCACGCCCCAGGAGGGAAGGGAGAGAGGCAGAGAGAAGCATGGAGGCGAGAGAGGCACTTGGACCCTGACCAGGTCTGCGCTGCCCTTTTCCCAGCTGCTTGAGGGCTAAGGTTTGACAGTTGAGCTGCAGGTTTCCTCTTTGCATGCGTCAGTTTACCTCTGGGCGCTGCTGTAGCTCTGTCCTTCACGTTTGCTGTATCGCGTTCTCATTTTCATTCCGTTCATTCAGTTAGAAATTCCCTCCAGGCTCCTTGTTCCTGCTGCTTGGGGCTGGGGGGGGGGGGGCAGTCTGCTCCGCAGTGTGCCTGCAGGTGCTCCCCATTGGGAGGCTCCTCCCGCGGTCTGTACTGGGGGTGGGGGTCGCCGTGTACTGCGGGGACACGTGGAAGCCCTGATCTCCACGAGCCCCATGACAGCACCTCACCAGGGAGGTGAGTGGGAGTGGATCCATGCTCCCATGGCAGGGGGCAGGGACGGGAGAGGCCTTGCTCTCCACTGGCTAAGGAGGACTCTCCCACCTCCCTGCTGGCTCTCCGGTTTGGGGTGCGGCTAGTCTGGGCTTCCTGCTGGGCCGCTGCTGGCAGGGACAGAGGGGCAGCACCGTTCGGCTGGAGCGGTGTCTTGCGAGGCTGCCTTTGTTTAGAGAGAGCTGGCTTCGAGCTGAATGTCCCGCCCGGGCCTGTTGGCATTTCCAGGCCGCAGCTTCTTCAGCGACAAGTCTGCACACGTGGGGCGAGGACAAAGCAGCAAACACCGGGAGACTCGTCGCGGCCTGGTCCTCGCCGGCCGCCTCCGCCCCCGCCGCCTCCGCAGGGTCTTCCGGCAGCCGCCAGGCACTGGCTGTGCCGAATGGGAACAGTGGGAGCGTGTCTCCCTCTTCCCAGAAGCACACGCTCCTTTTTTGTTTTGTTTTGTTTTGTTTGAGAGCAGAAGACGGTGGCTTGGCTGCTGCCGGGAATGGTCCATTAGAGGAGGCAGCAGGAGCCAAGGCTGAGCAGTGGGGGCCTGGCTGCTCGCGCAGCTCCTGCTCCACGGGGCCCATGGCCCAGGGCGTGGCGGGAGGACCCGGCAGAGTGAGGTCCGGTGCGGAGGGCGCTTTGCTTTGGAGTCGGACTGTCTTTCCCGGCTCAGTGTCCGGAGTCAGGAGCCACAAGTTGGCATCGGTCCCGGGTCCGGGAGCTCGGGGAGACGCCCCGCCCAGCCACATGCTGGAGGCTGGGATCCCCAGGACGCTCCTGCCTGTGCCCGCCCAGGGCACTGCCTCCAGGGGGGACACAGGGCCGTGGTCGCCCCACCCTGTCTGTCATGCCCAGCACGGCCTGGCACGTCCATTGAGGACCCAGACAGACAGAACAGTGGGAAATAGACTGGCTCCCGGGCCCACGCCTTCTGTGGGCTGTGCCAGGAGCACCCTCGGCCCGGGAGGTGCCCTTTGCCTTCGGCTGTGGAGGCCAGGCTGAGTGCAGGCTGTCACAGGCAGGCACGTGCCCGAACGTTCTCTGGGGACTTTGGGGCTTGCTGTTGATCTGGGGACCATGTGCCGGCGCTCCTGCCTCTGAGGTGAGGCGGCTGCTGCAGGCAGATGGTCAGACGTGGGTCTTGGGGGCTGTGGCTGCCCACAAGAGCAGCCTGGGGCGGGAGGAGGTGTCCAGGCAGAGGCCGGGCATGCCATCCTCGGTGCCCTGGGCCGGCTCCTCGTGGGCATGGCCGGGAGAGCTC